AGGACAGACATGTCCCTGTGAAAATGAGGGATAGAAAGGGCAAGATTAGGGAACCATGGCTGACAGGTGAAATTGTGAGACTAGCAAAGAGGAAAAAGGAAGCATACATAAGATCTAGGCGACTGAAAACAGGCGAAGCTTTGGAAGAATATTGGGAAAGTAGGACCAATCTGAAACGAGGAATTAAGAGGGCTAAAAGGGGTCATGAAATATCTTTAGCAAACAGGGTTAAAGCCTTTTATTTGTACATAAGGAGCAAGAGGGTAATTAGAGAAAGGGTTGGCCCACTCAAGGACAAAGGAGGGAAGTTATGCGAGGAGTCAGAGAAAATGAGTGAGATTCTTAATGATTACTTTGCATCGGTATTCACCGAGGAGAGGGACATGATGGATGTTGAGGTTAGAGATAGATGTTTGATTACTCTAGGTCAAGTCGGCATGAGGAGGGGTGAAGTGTTGGGTATTCTAAAAGGCATTAGGGTGGACAAGTCAGAGATAGTAGGAACTGCAGATGCTGGAGAATCCGAGACAACAAGGTGCAGAGCTGGATGAACACAGCAGGCTAAGCAGCATCATAGGGTGGACAAGTCCCCAGGTCCAGATGGCATCTATCCCAGATTTCTGAAGGAAGTGAGAGAGGAAATAGCTGGGGCCTTAACAGATATCTCTGCAGCATCCTTGAGCATGGGTGAGGTTCCGGAGGACTGGAGAATTGTTAATGTTGTCCCTCTGTTTAAGAAGGGTAGCAAGGATAATCCAGGAAATTATAGACCGATGAGCCTGACGTCAGTGGTGGGGAAGCTGCTGGAGAAGATACTGAGGGATAGGATCTATTACATTTGGAAGAAAATGGGCTTATTAGTGATAGGCAGCATGGTTTTTTGCAGGGAAGGTCATGTCTTGCCAACTTGATAGAATTCTTTGAGGAAGTGACAATGTTGATAGATGAGGGAAGGGCTGTAGATGTAATATACATGGACTTCAGTAAGACGTTTGATAAGGTTCCCCATGGTAGGCTGATGGAGAAAGTGAAGTGGGGTCCAGGGTGTACTAGCTAGATGCATAGAGAACTGGGTGGGCAACAGGAGACAGAGAGTTGTAGTGGAAGGGAGTTTCTCAAAATGGAGAACTGTGACCAGTGGTGTTCCACAGGGATCCGTGTTGGGACCACTGTTGTTTGTGATATACATAAATGATCTGGAGGAAGGTATAGATGGTCTGATTAGCAAGTTTGCAGATGACACGAAGATTGGTGGAGTAGCAGATAGTGAAGGGGACTGTCAGAGAATGCAGCAGAATATAGATAGATTGGGGAGTTGGGCGGCGAAATGGCAGATGGAGTTCAATCCAGGCAAATGCGAGGTGATGCATTTTGGAAGATCCAATTCAAGAGCGAACTATACAGTAAATGGAAAAGCCCTGGGGAAAATTGATGCACAGAGAGATCTGGGTGTTCAGGTCCATTGTACCCTGAAAGTGGCAACACAGGTGGATAGAGTGGTCAAGAAGGCATACGGCATGCTTTCATTCATCGGACGGGGTATTGAGTACAAGAGTTGGCAGGTCATGTTGCAGTTTTATGGGACTTTGGTTCAACCACATTTGGAATACTGCGTACAATTCTGGTCGCTACATTACCAAAAGGATGTGGATGCTTTGGAGAAGGTGCAGAGGAGGTTCACCAGGATGTTGCCTGATATGGAGGGTGCTAGATATGAAGAGAGGTTGAGTAGATTAGGATTATTTACATTAGAAAGACAGAGGTTGAGGGGGGACCTGATTGAGGTCTACAAAATCATGAGAAGTATAGACAGGGTGGATAGCAAGAAGCTTTTTCCCAGAGTGGGGTCTCAATTACTAGGGGTCACGATTTCAAGGTGAGAGGGGAAAAGTTTAAGGGAGATATGCGTGGAAAGTTCTTTACGCAGAGGGTGGTGGGTGCCTGGAACGCGTTGCCAGCGGAGGTGGTAGAGGTGGGCACGATAGCATCATTTAAGACGTATCTAGACAGATACATGAATGGGCAGGGAGCAGAGGGATACAGATCCTTGGAAAATAGACGACAGGTTTAGATAGAGGATCTGGATCGGCGCAGGCTTGGAGGGCCGAAGGGCCTGTTCCTGTGCTGTAATTTTCTTTGTTCTTTGTTCTTTGAGGATGGCCTCAATCGAGATCTTCAGTTCATATCGTACTACGGGGGACCCCACCACACTATATACTCCCACACACACACACACACCCACACACACGCACACATACACACTCTCACACAAACACACTCACACACACACACTCTTAGACCCTCTCTCAGACACATACTCTCTTTCACAGACACTCACACACACACACTCTCTCACACATATACACTCCTTCACACTCACACTCTGAAGCACACACACACATGTGCACACTCTCTCTCTGTCTTTCTCACACACACACACACACACACACACATATACACAGACACACACAGACTTAGACACACACACATGCCCATACACAGATACATGCACACACACACACACACACGCAGACACAGACACACACATGTGCCCATACACACACACACACACACACACACACGAATTATTTCATCCAAGATGTTTGTGTAGATGTGGATACATTCTGTTTTGCTCAAAATAAACCTGACCCCAGTTTAAAACATAGACAGATTCTAAGCAATACCTCATACCTAAAATTCATTGTCTGACCTGAGATTTCACTTTTTGCGTACATTGATAAAACCTTTAATTATCTCAAGACAATGACTTGAGAGGAATCTGGAGTTTGCACTTTAATCAATAGTCTCCTTCCTAACTGATTAAAGATTCAACAAGAAGTGGCCAATTTTAAGGTTGTTACCTTTCTGCTAATAAATTCTGTGTCTTTTACCCTCTCTCTCACACTACGCCTCAGATAAACCTGTCGGACTATAACCTGGTGTTGTGTGATTTTTGACTTTGTCTACACCAGTCTAACACCTGCATCTCCACATCTGGAAATAAGTGCACAGAGGCCAGTTTCTTGTCACCTAGTCACCTTGTTTTTATATGTGGAAATACTTGACTCTCATCCAGCTCCATGAGAGCCAGCTCTCAGCATATCAGAATGTCTGACACCCATCTTTTTAGCTGTCAGACAGTGTTCCCTGTTTGGGCCAGATTAACAGCCCCAATTAGGGAACTCATATTATATGAGGTCCATCTGGCTGATCATGTTACAATCACTACCACAGTCCTTGACAGCAAGGTCACATTCACTAGGTGTGGTACCAAGAGGCCCTAGCAAAATAGGAATCATTGGGTATTGGGACAAACTCTCCACTGGTTGGAGTCAAACCTGGCATATAAGAAGATTATTGTGGTTGCTGGAAGACAGTCAACACAGCTTGAGAACATTTCTGTAGAATTTCCTGAGCCCAACTATCTTCAGCTGCTTCATCAATGACCTTCCCTCCACCATATGGTCAGAAGTGGGGATGTTTGCTGATGATTGCACAATGTTCAGGATCACTCACAAATCCTCAGATACTGAAGCAGTCCATGCGCAAATGCAACAAGATCTGGACAATATTTAGATTTGGGCTGACAAGTGGTATGTAACATTTATGCCACACAGATGTGATGCAATGACCATCTCCAATAAGAAACAGTCAGACCACTGCCCCTTGACATTCAATGGTGTTACCATCACTGAATCTCCCCAATCAACATCCTGGGTGGGTTACCACTGACCAGAAACTCAACTGGACCTCACCACATAAACACAGTGGCTACAGAAGTAGGTCAGAGGCTAGGAATACTGCAGCGAGTAACTCACCTCCTGAGTCCCCAAAGGCTGGTCCATCATTTACAAGGCACAAGTCAGGAGTGTGATGGAATATCCCCTACATGCCTGGATGGGTGCAGCTTCAACAGCACTCAAGAAGCTTGACACCATCCAGGGCAAAGCAGCTATTTGATTGGCATCACATCCACAAGCATCCAATCCCTCCAACACTGACACTCAGTAGAATCAATGTGCTTTATCTACAAGATGCACTGCAGGAAATTACTAATGATCCTTAGATATCACCTTCTAATCTCATCACCACTTCCAACTAGAAGGACAAGGGTAGCAGATACATGGGAACACTACCCCCTGCAAAATCCTCTACAAGCCACTCACCATCCTGGCTTGGAACTATATCACTGTTCCTTCACTGTCACTGGGTCAAAATCCTGCAATTCCCTTCTTAAGGGCATTGTGGATCTATCTACGGCATATGGACTGTAGCAGTTCAAGAAGGTGGCTCACCAAGGCCAACTAAGGATGGGCAATAAATGTTGATTCAGTTCATGTCCCACGAGTGTATAAATAAAAAAAGAAAGATTAAGCAGCTGAAACGGCCTTTGAAATGAAAATCCCCAGTTGTATCCAAGAGGGAGAAGGTTCCCGGGAAAGTGAGAGCAACACACTCACTCACGATTACTCCTTTAAATTTCAGTTATTTTCCTCTGGCCTTTCCAATCACTACAAGCAAAGTAACTCCACAGGAAATTCATGTCAACAAGAGAGATGCAGAAACTGGTGTTAATTCCAGGATGGACTTTGTGTCAATCTTGTCGGTTATCCTTTATTCCATAAAGTGCATTATTTAACTATTTTAGATGAATCTTTAATGGCATTTTTCATCATTTCTTTATGAAAACAATTTTTTTACACTATCCAACCAACAATATTTGAATCCTTTTAGATATTAAATACAATATCATTGTCACAATAATTGCTAATAATTGTCAGTATTTCTCTAAGACATAAAACAATTCTAATACTCTGTATGGAATAATCAATTGACGTGCAAGTTCACTAAAAACTAATCAATTGGAGAAGTAGAATATTTAATCGAACTGATACCGTGATAAAATACTGGAGCTGAAATTCAGTCTAGAATGCATCACTGGTTTAATTTTGTATTTCTAGTTTGAGAATGTATATTTTATATGATCTCATCTTACTTACAGCCAGAATGTGTCGGTCTCGCTCAATGAGGTCAGCCCATTTATATAAGAGCTGTCCTCTGGCTGATGTATCCAGATTTCTCCATGGGGATCCTGGCTGGAAAGCTTCTCTTGCTGCTTCCACTGCTTTGTCCACATCAGGCTGGGAATGAAGACCAGTAACAGCAGGTTAACGCTCTGTCACTACAGCACTGTCACTAATTACCCTGAAACATATTGAAGAGAACTTCACCTTGATCAACCCTGACTTTCTACAGTGATGTCAACCTCTAATCATCTGTACTGTGGCAGACTGCTTACCTCATGTGATAATAGCACGTAAAGTGACGGACTGCTTACCCATACAGGAGCAGATAGCTTACCCAATATGGTAATGCTGCATACAGGGCAGTCTGCCTACTCCATATGGTAATACCCGTTAGAGGGGAGATCAGTTATCCCATGTGGTAATACCCCTTATAAGGGCAGACCGGTGACATCTACTGTTTAAGATGAATAGAGGTAATGTTCTCAATCCTGTTGGTCTGTTTGCCTCCAAACAATATATCTCCAAAACTAAGGGACAAATTTCAACAAACTTTGGTAGGTAGAAAGTAAATGACCTAAGGAAGAATGAACCAGTTTTTGGTAAAAATGTGGATTTAGATCTGAATCCTGGATCTTTTCAAATGATCCATTAACATTTTTGATTATTTGGTAATTATTATTGATAATATGTTTAGAATATTGTGGATAGTTTAATTTAGAGTGTTGTTGATTGTTTTAGAATACCATGGGTTTGTTCAGCTGCTGTGGTGCAATTTGTCACAGCTGTCACAGTTTCTGAAGAAGGGTCTAGGCCCAAAACATCAGCCTTCCTGCTCCTCTGATGCTGCTTGGCCTGCTGTGTTCATCCAGCTCTACACCTTGTTATGTCAAAATATGAGCAGAGTTTTCAAAGCAGGTTCTTGGAACAAAGGCCTGAACTGTCTCCATCCACCACATCCACTTGGCTGAGCTCGTTGTTGCCCTGAACAACTTCTCTTTTAACTCCTCTCATTTTCTTCAGGTCAAAGGGGTGGCCATGGGTACTTTTATAGGCTCCAGTTATTCCTGTCTCTTTGTAGGGTATGTGGAATATTCCTTTTTCCAGTCCTAGTCCAGGCCCCATCCACAACTCTTTCTCCTCAAATTGAAGATATCATCAGTGCTGCTTCCCTCACTCATCCGGAATTAGAAAAGTTCATTAATTTTGCTTCCAACTTTCATCCCACTCTCACCTTTACCTCGCGTATCTCTGATTCCTCCCTCCCTTTCCTCGACATCTCTGTTTCTATTTCTGGGGATAGACTGGCCACCAATATCCATTATAAAGCCACCGACTCCCACAGTGACCTGGATTATACAACCTGGCACCCTGCTTCCTGTAAAGACTCTATTCCATTTTCCCTGTTCCTCCGACTCTGTTGCATATGTTCTGGCGAGGCCAACTTCAACAAAGGAGCCTCCGAAATGTCCACCTTTGTCCTCAACTGAAGATTCCCCAGCACCATTGCTGACAGGGCCCTCAGCTGGATCCGACCCATCTCTCACAATTTGGCCCTCATCCCCCCTCTTCCCTTCCACAAAAGCGACATGGTGCTCCTTATCCTTACCTACCATCTCCCCAATGTCCACATCCAGAAGATCATCAGCCACCATTTCCACCACTTCCAGAGAGATGCCACCACCAGACACATATTCACCTCCCCTCCCTTGTCCGCCTTCCACAGGGACTATTCCCTCCGAGACACCCTGGTCCACACTTCCTTCACTCTTAACATCCCCCCACAGCCCCATGGCACCTTCCCAGCAACTGCCGAAGGTGTAACACCTGTCATTTACCTTCTCCCTCCTCAGTATCCGAGGGCCCGAACATACCTTCCAGGTGAAGCAGCACTTTACCTGCACTTCACACAAACTAGTCTGGGGTGGCACGGTGGTTCAGTGGTTAGCACTGCTGTCTCACAGCACCAGGGACCCAGGTTAAGTTCCAGCCTTGGGCAAGGGTCTGTGTGGAGTTTGCATGTTCTCCCCAGGTGTTCTGGTTTCCTCCCACAGTCCAAAGATGTGTAGGTTAGGTGGATTGACCATGCTAAATAGCCCATAGTGTCCAGGGATGTGTAAGTTAGGTGGATTGGCCATGGGAAATACAGGGATAGGGTGCGTGGATGAGTCTGGGTGGGATGCTCTTTGGAGAGATGGTGTGGAGTTGTTGGGTTGAATGGCCTCTTTCCACACTGTGGGGATTCTATGATTCTACTGCATTTGTTGCTCACAATGTGGTCTCTTTCTACATTGGGGAAAGGAAGTGTAGACTGTGTGACCGCTTCGCAGAATACTGACATTCTGAATGGAAAAAAAAGACCCTGAGCTTCCACTTGTCTGCCACTTCAAAACACTGCCCTGTTCCTTGGCACAAGCTGGAAGAACATCACCTCATTTTCTGCTTGGGTACTCTGCAGCCCTCTGGGCTCAATATTGAGTTCAATAACTTTAGGGCTTGAGCTGTTCCGTGTCCTTACCCAACCCCACACGCACACCAGGCCTTGTTAACACGTAGTCAGCTATTACACACAACCCATTGTTAGCCACTACTAGTCCTCACTCATCGCCATTCACATTCCTAGCCAGATCGTCATCCACTTCTTTGTCAGCCCAACTGTTCTCTCTCTTTAGGCTCTGTCTGAACCTATCATTTATTCCTTACACCCCTCTCCCCACCCTAGCCTCTGCACATAAACCAATATTTACCTAGTTACATAAAAACCTGAAGAACTGCGGATGCTGTAAATCAGGAACAAAAACAAAGGTGCTGGAAAAGCTCAGCAGGTCTGGCAGCATCTGTGAAGGGAAAAGTAGAGTTAACGTTTCAGGTCCGGTGACCCTTCCTCAGAACTGCTAGCTACCTAGCTACCATCGTGAGAAGTACTGATCATCAGCTGAGGGAGGATGGTACATGGTAAACAGCAAGAGGTTTCCTTGTCCACGTTTAACCTGAAGCTATGAGATTTCATGAGGTCAGAGTCGATGTTGAAGATTCCTAGGGCAACTCCGTCTCAACTGTTTACCACTATGCTACTACCTCTGCTTGGTCCGTCCTGCTGGTGGGATAGGACATAACCACGGATAACCAGGACATAACCAACTCCTAGCTACCATCGGTTCTGAGGAAAGGTCACATGACTCAAAATGTTAACTCTGATTTCTCTCCACAGATGCTACCAGACCTGCTGAGCTTTTCCAACAATTTCTGTTTTTGTTTCAAAGCAGGTTGTTGGGTATGGATCAGTCTGAACCTTTAACAGTGAAATGGAATTTCTAACTAAAAATATTTACGTCTTCAGTGTTGAAATTCCAGAATGTCATTCAGACATTCCATGTCAAACCTCAAGAAAGAACTGCACAATTACAATAACATTGAGTGAACACACCCTGCTGGAGGTAGTGCTCTATTGATTGCCCTTTCCAATTGTTATCCCATGTAGCATGACCCTTCACAGGGACAGACCCCATGTGAACATTGAGGAAGCAGTCATTGCAGTCTGCCATTCTCCCGACAATTAAAGAGCAGCACAGAATTCTCCTTGATCCAACTCATGTCTGGCTTGTAGATGGAAACAGCCAAAAACCTTTAAAATCTCACACATTCATATAAAGTTGTGGTTACACCAACAGAGGAAAACCCAATGATCAAACCAGGATGCATTTTTGATTTCGTCAAAAAGAACAAAGTCATCAACTGTTTCTTGGAGCTCTCTGTTGATATCAATGATTGCCTCATGACTCTGTCTACAACTTGTCAAAAACCAGCAGGTAATAATCATGAGTACCTATCTCCAACACTTGATGCAATAGAGGAGTCCAAAGAAGTTTTCTACTCCATTCTGGACACTATTCTAGACACTCATCAACATCCCTAAGGAAGATAAAATTATCATCCCTGGGAGACTTCAACTCCAGGCTTGGAAAGGACACCCAACTCTGGAAAGGAACCATTGTAAGTGGAGGCAATGGCCTAGTGGTATTATCACTAGATGACTAATTCAGAAATTCAATTAATTTTCTAGGGATCTGGGTTCAAATTCTGCCATGGCAGATGGTGGAATTTGAATTCAATAAAAAAAATCTGGAATTAAGAATCTGCTGATGACCATGAAATCATTGCCAATCGTTGGAAAAACCCTGGCTCACTAATGTCCTTTAAGGAAGGGAATCTTCCATCCTCACCTGGTTTGGCCTACGTGTGACTCCAGACCCACAGCAATGTTGTCAACTCTCAATTGTCCTCTGAAAAGGCCTAGCAAGCCAATCGCTACAAAGTTTCCACAAAATAAAACTGGACAGATCACCTGCATCAACCTAGGCACCAGAAAAGACAACAGCAGAAACAGCCTTATTGACCCTGCAATATCCTCCTTAATAAGATCTGGGGCTAGTGCCAAAACTGGGAGAGCTGTGTCTCACAGACTAGTCAAGCAACAGCCTGACATAGTCATACTCATGGAATCATACCTTATGGACAAATTCCCAGACACTACCATCATCATCCCTGGTTATATCCTGTCCCACCCGCAGGACAGACCCAACAGAGGTAGTGGCACAGTGGTATACAGTTGAGAGGGAGTTGCTGTGGGAGTCCTTAACATTGACCCTGACCTCATGAAATCTCATAGCTTCAGGTTAAACATGGACAAGGAAATCTCTTGCTGATTACCATGTACCGTCCTTCCTCAGTTGATGAATCGGTGCTCCTCCATGTTGAACAATACTTAAAGGAAGCATTGAGGGTGGCAAGGCACAGAATGCACTCTGGGTAGGGATTTCAATGTCCACCACTAAGAGTGACTTGAAAGCAGCATTACAGATCAAGCTGGTCTGGTCCTAATGACATAACTGCTAGACTGGGTCTGCAGTAGGTGGTGAAGGAACCAACAAGAGGGAAAAACATTCTTGACCCCATCCTTACTAATCTGCCAGCCGCAGATGTATCTGTCCATGACACTATCGGTAAGAGCGACCACCGCACAGTCCTTGTGGAGATGAAGTCCCCCTTTTACATTGAGAATAACTTCCACCATGTTGTGTGGCACTATCACCGTGCTAAATGGGACAGACTTCGAA